CTTTCCCTTATTTCTTCAGAGGGATTTTCAGAGCCTTCAGACCAGGATGATCCTTTCACAGATGGAGACAGTCCTGAGCGGAGCCTGTATTACCTAGGGATAACATCTTTTGAAAAAACAGAAAATGACATTTTTTTAACAGAAAGTTCGGGAGTCGTGTGTCAGTTTCGTACAACTGATCTGCTCAAAGATACAGGTTTTCTTCAGAGTGCATCTCCTAATTTAAATGCATTTATCAAAAGTAGCCTCAAGTACAAAGCCACTGTGCCATACATGCCACAGTTTCAGATGACTGCTGCCAAAGTGCAAGAGACCACAGAGAACAAATCTTAAGTCATCACACCACAATTTGGTACTGTTCGTATTTTTTAAGTGTTGATGTGTTCCCCCGTTGTTCCCTCCCCTGGCTTCTTTCAGGAACTCTCCTGTTTTGAAGTTAGGTAACTAAGTCTGTATTTAAGTGCCAGGATTTTAGTAGGAAAACATTCAATTTCTTGGCTTAATTTTCAAAAGCGGGGCCTTGATTGCATTCAGGCTAGCCATTCTGGTGCCAAACTGCCTGTTGTTGCTGCCTGTTACGTGTACTTCTGAGCTTTTCAGTGAAGAATTGCACTTGGACTTGGACTTTGTGCCATAGACATTCAGGTGAGGATTGGATGCAATCTAAATGCAGTCTTTGCTAAAGCTCAGTCCTCGGGCTCTGTCCTAGGCTGTGGCCTATCCCTAGGACAGAGACTTCAATAGCTCTGTAAGCCCTCCGTAGCCATAGCTGGCCGCAGCAAATGAGCGCGGCTGCACAGGGCTGGGGTGCGGCAGAGCTCGGCGGCACAATTCGGATGTCTTCGGTGTGTGACAACAGCCTTTTCCTCCAGCTGGAGAGAAGTCCAAGAGCTGGGGCTGTTGTGGGCTTTGGTGTGGAGATTCCCAGACACTTCTAAATTCAACCACCGTACACTGAAGAAACACAGCTCCCTTTTTCATGCAGTTTCCAAATGCGAAGGTGAAACAGGCCCTTACGTTCTCCTTGTGGATTGCATCCAATTCTGTATCAGTGGGCTTCTTTTGCTGTATTGTTAAACGTGATCAAGTTTTCCACAGGGGTGAGCACAGGGTCTCTGTCGCCAGTACAGAGCCATGCACAAGTTTCTCTTCGTTTAGGAGTAAAATATCTCTTCAACACTATTTGCCCACGTATTTAAACAGAAAGAGCTTATTCTTGTTTAAGAATTTGTTTGTGGATCCTGAGTGTGAGATGGAAAAGAGTGGCCTAATAGCATTAAAGAGAAGACTGAAATAGTATGTACCCATGTGTGGCGATGGAGGAAAAATCAGAACGTGTCATTTCACTGAGGATGGCTTGTGACGAGTGGTACAGGCTGAGTTGATCTGGATGTGGTGCAGCCACTGGACATTCAGACTGCTGGGTTATGAGACAGTGGTATCCAATTGAACTGCAGGTAATAAATGA